AGAGCTACATTCATAGGACTGCATCCTAAATGGTCTTTTTGTTTTTAACCAAAGGAGCAAATTTAGGGTTYTGCCTCTAGGAGAAAATTCCTCAAAAATTACCCCCAAAATACAAACTACAGAGAATCAGTACTGACAGTAAAACAAACCTACTCAAACACAATGTACCACAAAAATGCACAGGTGGGTAGGACTTTTTTGGTTAAAACACCACAAGATTACAAGGGACWTGTTCTTTAACCCAGGACTGTTCATAGCAAATCCTATAATCCTTTCCCCTGTGAGCTGGGCTCTTTCAGCAGGACAAGCATCCTTGCCTTCTCCCATTACAGCATTAGGTTTTCTGGACAAGAATCCACAAATTTCCATATTAATCAAATAAAATATTTCCATACTAATCAGATTTTTTTTTTGAGAGAAGGGAGGGCTCAGCATCTTCGAGGTAGATTCTTGTCTTGATAGTAAATGTATGAGGCTGGTTTACACCTACAATAGCAAACATGCACATTCTTATGGTAATCCATCATTTTCAAAGGCATATTCTTTTGTTATCACTCTGCATTCACTCTCAGAGTTACAGGCATTTATTTATCTCCTCCTCAGAATGTTGGGAAACAAGCTAATACAGATCTCAGTACATCACAAAGATGACAACAGATAACACAGGAAAAGCTATTCCACAGCCCAATAGAAGTAGATAAAACTCAGTGTACATCAAAGTAATTTCAGAAGCAATTTTTTTGTGTCTCTGGAGCAAACGCTGTGTAAAAATTTCAAGTTATTCTGTGGGGAAAACCAAAGGAGCCACTGGTCTATRGAGTCTCAGAAAGTCAGAATTACCTCCTGAGCAGTTTATAATCATCTGGTTAATGAACCCACTCTCATTCTGCATTCTCCCACCCTATTTGCCAGCTTACATGACTTTAAAGCACTTTAAAATAATCAAATTGCTCACAGTTTGGTCAGCTGGAGCTCTGCCCCAGCTGCCTTAAGTCACAAAATTCCTCAGCTTTGGGGCTCTTACACTTCCCTAATGTTCATCAGCCTCAATCCGACCCTTCTGCTACCACACTCAGAGCATGCCCACATTTGCAGATATGTAAAAAAAGATCTAAACAGAGAAATTGGTTTGTCCAGTGCCAGAGGGTTTGGAGCAGGACTCAGCTTTCTGGAATCTGGGAGCATTAAAGAACTCATATAAATAGAATTCAATAGGAGTTACTCCAGATAAACACCTCGTGCCAGTGAGCTGGGTTAAAAATGTTCCCAGCTGAGGTTTGTGAAATAAGCTGTGTTTGTGACTTCTAGGTTCTGATTAAAAAGGAGGGAAAAAACTCAGACCAAACCCAAACCAACAAAACCACACAGAAACCCAAACCAAAATGGAAACAAATGAAAAAATAAGCCTCCCCCCTCAAAAAAAAACAAACAAACAACAAAACAAACAAAAAAACCTAAACAAAACCAAAACCAAGCAAAAACCCAAACCCAAAACAAAACAAACCAAAAAAACCCCAACAAAACAAAAAAATACCCCACAACAACAACAAATTAAAAAAAAAAAATAAAACCACAAACACAAAACAGAAGTTTCTTAAAACTTTGGAGAACTTATTCCCAAAATCAGTCAGGTGGGGCTGGTATAATGAGATGTGTACACAGGGCTGCTTCCTAACTGGCATTTCCTACAAGCACTCGGGTCTGCAATCAAAGGAAACACATCCAGAGAGGATTTCACATCAGGGTAGAGATTAAGGCTTCATTAAAAATTCTCTTTGTGCTCCCTGGAGTGRCACGTGAGGCCACACAGACCCCTCCAGTCATGCAGAGTGGTGAAGGCTCCTTTCTATCCTTRAAATTATTCTTTCATTTTTTTATAAACTAGCAAACCCCATGAAAGCCAGCAAAAGGGAATTTAGTATATTTTCCTTCTATGCCTTTGATAAAATGTGGGTTTGTCTTTTAATTTGAAATTATGATTTTATTTTTTTTTTTAGTAAAGGAAATGTTTCACATTGCTGCATTTAGCAGGGAACTTAAAAGGGAGAATTATCCATGGGGCAGGAGTAAGAACTACATGTTGTTGTATTTGTCTTTTGGGACTTGGAACAAATCTAAAGGCCTCTGCATCWCACTCATCACAAAAACAAGCAGGAAAGGTGTGAATTTTGATTTTTCCTGGTTCAAAGGGATCCTTTAAATCCTGAGAGCCACTTGCCTACACCTCCCTTTCGTGTTTTTATCCTGCTGACTTGATAACTTATAATAGTGGTTGCTACTGTAAAACTCAGTTTCCCACTTCCAAAATTCTCTCTGCCTGTGACATTAAAGTCATCTCTATCAGTTCCCTCCTGAAGGGTGTCTGGAGAGCTGTTTCCCCCCAAACTGAGATGTCTCAAGGGTTAAACACACCTTAAAAAATTAAGTCTCCAGCAAAACTGGCTGCAATTTAAGGGGTTAAATCYTCAGAACCAAACAGCTCATGCCAGGAGCCCCCCAAGGATGTCAGGAGGGCTCTGCTGGGCACAGGGAATTCTCCTGGACAAACCTGGTCCGTGGCATTTGAGCACTGCAAGGGCAGGAGAGCAGTTCCTCTGTGCAGAGCTCATTGTCAGTGCATCCCTGCTGAGCTGATCCCATCAGTGCCAAACCCAACATGATTCCTGTGTGGGAACAACCCCTGCACACCCTTCTGGCCAGTGCACACACTGCGGGGCAGAATTAGGTCCAGTTTGTCTCCCATTTCCCGTTTTGTTTAACCCTTCCCTGGTCCAATGTTTCCAAATGACTGCGCTGCTTCCCAACGTTTCTGCACAGCAGGAACAGCTCAGCCACTGCCAGGACCATTCACTGCCTTTGGTGGAGTCAGGATAATTTTTACTTTCTTAAAAAGCCAAGATATTTGAAAAAATGAACATCCGTGGTTGTTCACAATCCCCGAGTTAAAGCAGACACACTGGAACAGCCATGGATTAATCTGTGTTTCAGCAAACACTTTCTCTGATTTTGGAACAGGTCAGAGACAGAGGCCAAGTCCAAAAAAAATCTCTTCAAGTTCAAGCCCTGGATGTATCAGTGAGGATCCTGCCAGGATGACAGTTTCCACTGTGAAGTGGAAAGAGGGATGAGGGGCTTTGCTTTGGGCCAGGAAAAGAGAAATGTCCAATTGTCCTGCACTTCTCAGCAGCACCTGAAGTCTTGATGCCTCCTCAGATAAAAAAGGGGATGATAAACAGGAGGGCAGATGCTCATTTGTTATCCCTTCATGGTGCAGAGCATCAGGCAGCACCTTTGAGAGTGGGATTTTTAAATCTAACTGGTTTAAAGAAATAATCCTGTGTGGTGAAAGGGCAGGGAGATGGGGTAAGGAACAACCAGGAACAACATGGACAGACCTATCCCAGGAGCAGTGGCCAGCTGGAAACACTATGGGAAGAGAAAAGTTTCTGTAGGGACCCACTGAATTTGTTCTGTCTGAGAAATTATCAAAATTATTGTGACAGAAAGCAAAAAGTGGAGGCAAGAACACAGACCCGCAAGGACAGCGTATTCTGCAGCTAAACCTGTCTGAAAGACATTCAGTAACCGAGGGGTCCTGCTTGGCAAATTGTCCTGTCTGATTGTTTTGGGGAGCTGGCATGGTGATCCTGGCATGGAAAACATGGAAAACACTTGGTGGGCTCTTCTTCCAAAAGGAGAGGGGCATTTCCATGCCCTGCTAGCCCAGCTCAGCTCCCCCAGCTCAGGGGCAGCGTGGASGGGGTGACTGCCCATCATGGATGCTGTAAATGCTGTTTACTGTTGGCAGGCAAAAAAAAAAATAAGGCTGCTGCCTAAGACTGTTGATTTCAACAGCTCTGGTGGATAAACCCTGTAAAACTCTATTAGTTAACAGGGAGGTTAAGAAATAATCMTATTATGTTATTCCAAAGTAGGCCTGTATAGAACCCACAAGTATTAAACTCTATTAAGGAAATTTATTATTTTTTAAGAAATTCTTCTACCCATAAAATTCCTCTATCAGCATGTGCACACTACTGCACAGGACTTACCTCCAACACCTCAGCATCCTGGACTTGGCAATAAAAAATTTGGAGAAATCATGAAGGTTTATTGATAATGCCTTCTCACGGACATAAAGAGGAAAAAGGAGAAAATAATCCACCCATGACTGACTCAGGTTATAGGGGGAGGCAGTGATAAAATCTGCAGAGATGTCAGACAAGTAAAGGTCTAACTGATTAAAAAAATTGAAAACCTGGAGTGATGTTTCTTTACAAAACTCGATACAACATATTTTCTGTAGTTACCATTTCAAGAAAATGACTCAGATGTTTTAATTAGTCTGTCAAAATAATTAGGGGGGGTGCGGGAAATGAGGTCACATTTCAAGCTTGTCTCTTTTCTAATTTTCTGGTTGGAAAAAGAATCCCCAAACTTTCAGAAATCCACTCTGAGGGAAGTGTCAAATACTGGATTTTCCCCACACATCGCAGCCAAGCTGCCTCTGCTGTCCCTGGGCTGGCTGTTACGATGCTTCTGCTGCTCTCCTGGAGTTCAGGGACACAAACCCCACACAATTCTTTGGGAGACTGAGCTACCCAGCACCTGAGAAAATGAGATCTTGGCTGAAGTCAATTTAATATCAGAGAAAAGCCYTCCCTGCCAGCCCTGGCTGTCCCAAACACCTCTTTCTCCATCTCACAGGTGTGCTRCACAAAGTGGCAGCAGCAGCACGTGCAGATGGAATTGGCCATGACCTGCAGAGGGAGGGAAAGGCAGAATTCACTCACCCTGTCCCACTGAGTTTGGGATTACAAGAGGAGGTTTCAATGATAAACCACATTTTGTACAATGAGCATTTTCATTCTAGTAATTTGGGGAGAAAAACACTTCATTAAAGATGCTTAATAAAGACAAGAGCTTCAGAGTAGCTGTTCCCTGTCCAAACTAACAGGCTGAGTGTCAAAAGAAGGAGTGACATGCCCATAGTGTCTAAGTTTAAATTTATTTAATACGAAAAAYGTTTACAAATCCACCATGCAATCCACCATGCACTCAACCTGGACCTAGTGAGGCTAAAGTAGGACTTTGTGCTGCTTCACCCACAAAACTCTTTTGGCTACAGAGGTCAGAGAGGTTCACAAGCATTAACTAAGATCAGTTTTACTGAACCCGTGTGAAGAACAAACCAAGGACACAGACAAAGGAAGAAATGTTATCTCTCCATTCCAGTTCTCTAACCAGGCCTTCCTTCATAACAATTCCATACAGAAAATGTTACTTCATCCTACAAGTCAGCTAAAGCCATTTGACTCTTCTACTCACAAAGGAAAAGTTATTTCTAAACAACAAATAAACATGTGCCTCTTTTTCTGATGCAGTTATTAGAACAGACTTTATCAATTATTCTCAGYAGATTTGGACCCAAAGGAATGCTCTCCACCTGCCTGGCAGTTAAACCAGGGGCAGAGGCATTCCATAGATTCCCATGGAGGTTTTTGCAGTGATCTCCATCACTGCCATTCCTAACTCCTCAGCATTGTGCCCATAGGGATAGGTCCTTTTAAGAACCCAGAGCTCTCCAAGGGGGTCATATCCATTGCAAGCAAGTTAAACTTACTGAATCCATTAACATCTTGGCAGCTGGAAGAAAAAGCTTCTTCATTGTGCACAGCACTGAGTTTGGTGGAGGTCTTGTCAGAAGTAGCCACGGGACCCATCTCCCTCTGCGTGCTGGTCTGAGTCTCCTTCTGCTTCTTGGCTAGCTTCCTTTGGGGTGGTTTGGAGAGGGGAGAAAGCACGGTCAGTTTGCCCTCATGAAAAGCAAAATKATTGTAAAATATTCTGAATAAAAATCACCCCACTTGGTCCGACATGCAGGGCACAAACTGCACAGAGTGAGGAAACCCCACGGCTTTGGAGCGCACCTGGAGCAGCGCCAGGAATGTGGTGACACCAGAGTGGGAGCTGGGCTGGCCCTGCCAGGCACTCATCGGGCACAAACCTGCATCACCCCAGCAGTGGGAGTGCTACCTCAGCCTGGACAGGGGAATGGGTGCAGAGGGCTCGGGATGGGAGCAGGGTTCACCCCGAGGGACAGGGACATGGCATCCATCCCGTGGGTTGGCACCTGGCTCTGGGTGACCTGAGRCTGCAGCAGGGGCTGTCCTGTCCCCAAAGCCTCCTGAAATGCACCCAAACTGTGCTGGAGATCCCCAGCCAGAGAAGGGTAGAGCACCTTAAAGGTTGAGGTCTTTTTAACAATATCCAAATATGTCCTTATTCTGGGAAAATGGGGCTTTCCTTCTTTTCAGGAGACATCAAAAACATYGTCAAAAGCAGCAATGCTGCCTGCTCTGAAAACACTAACAAAGCTGAGAGCATGAAGAGGCTCCTCTTTTGCAAACACAGGGAATAATAAAATGGAGAAAAGCAGGAGAAGTGAGCTGCTAAGCTTCCACTGACATTTGACTGCCCTGTGCTTCCTTCGTATCAGAGAGCAAAACCCTTTAAAAATGAATGTGTGACATTCTACAATCCACACCTTGAAAAAATATCACACAAATCCCTAGCACCAGCAAAGAGCTTTGCTTACACGGCTTCCCTAGATAAGAAAATAAAACAAAATAAAAGGGAGAAAAACAGATTACTGTAAGAAGGAGCTTCAGTTTTCTTTCTTTCCTCCAACTCAGAGCAAAAAAAGAAGAAAAAAAAAATTAAAAAATCCTAACAACTAAATCATTTTGCAAAGAGGTTTTTCTTCTCTAAAACAACATGCTTATGGTAAGTACTACCCATCTTTTAAACTTAATTAGATGTTAAAAAAGAGGTACTGCTTGCAACATGGTCTAACAGGCTTTTTTTTTCACCCACAGAGCATGTCAGAGTGGCATTTGCAGGCGAGTTGGAGTGCCCAGCTGAGCCCCAGCCTTCAGGAGATGGSCAGCTTGGCCACTTGCACTTGTTTGCAAAGAAGGGTCAAAGAGAGCTAAATCCTTTGCCTGTGTCTGTGGGAAAAGCCTATCTTAAAGCAAGATAACCCAGATCAGGAGAGCACAGCTTCCTGCAGAAAACTCGGGTGTTTGCTGGAAACTTTTGAACAAACWCATGTGTTTCATCTGCTCAGCCAGYTGGGGTTCAGCCATTGACAATCGATTCCAATCCAAGCCCAGAGCTATTCAAACTGGGTTCTCATCATCACAGGGGCTCCCTCAGATCCCCCAAAACCCCCACRGTGTCTCCACTTGTGCAGATGAAGATGCAAAGAGGGGAGCAGTCCTCGAGYGATGAAACAAAAGGTTGGGTGTTTCATGATGTTAAAAGCTTTTTTCAGTGCTCAGCAGTGTTGGCACAGCCAGATTTAGGAACTGTGAGTTCAGACAGGGGACCCCCTGGGGTTTTTTTGTGCTGTGGTTCCTCAGGTAACTCCAACAGTCCTAAAATGCGTTAACCCTGCTATGGGGTTCTTTTAATCCTGMTTTGCAAATGGTACGAGCCTGTGTGAATTCTTTGGCAACAGGAATTAAAGTCACTCGGTGGGGAACACTAATAATCCAAAATGCAGAAGTCCTTAATAAAAAGCACTCTGGACTGCTGGGGTGAGCTACTACAGACGACCACTCCTGATGGTTAAAAAKGGTGAGTCAAAAGAGGCGACTTCCTGATTCAATCCAAATTCAAATATTTGTGGCAATAATTATCTTTAAGTCCCCATGGCCTGGTATCTTTTCAGAAATGCCAACAGGCTACAAAGAGCTGGAATTGGCAAACTTGTTTTGTCYTTGAGCAAATGAGCAACAACATTTGTGCATGTCCTAGGCAGGAAAAAAATAACCCCAAACCCGAGCCCCTTAGTCCCCAAAGGCCTGCTTACAAAAGCCCTATGCAAAGGAGTTCTACCTGGTCCTGTAGAAGACAGAGAGGCCCCTAAAACATTGGCTTGAATGCCTAAAAAGAAAAGGTGACATGAGTTTAAAGTTCTCAATCTACCTCGCACACACAACCCGGGTCTGCATCTGAAAACGCCACGATTTTCTTTCAACAGCGTCTTATCAATTTCCACCTTCCTCCCTCTCTGTTCCAAGAACGTAAAAATTCATCGTCTAAATTTAGAGGGAAAAGGAAGACAGATCTCTTTGGAGGATTTCAGAGCTAAGCTTGCCAGACACATCAAGGGGCTCTCGGTTTCTAAACGTGCCTTTTCTGCTGCCGCTCCATGTCTGGAGAGAGTGGCAGCACGGGACTAAGCCTATTTGGGCCTTGCCATCATTATAATTCATGGAAAAGATTAGAAAATCAAATGACTAGCACTTTCCAGAATGTTAGGGATGTGACTTAAAACCCGCAGCTAGGTAGAGGTTTATTTCCCAGCACGTCAAAATGCCTTTTGGGATTGGAAAAGCGTTTATCTGGAAATGCTGTTCCCAAAAATAGGGCGCTCCGAGAGGTCTCTGTGAATCACTGACAAGCCACGTCGGTGACAAGGCTCCTGCTGTCCCCACTGCCCAGCCTGCCCTGCACAGAGCCACAACAAAGCTGCTATCAGAGCATTAGTGTCACTCAGGGGCTGGCTGCGTGTCCCCAGCACAGCCTGGCACCCCAAACCCAGCAGACGCTGCCCCGCTCATGCATTATCCACCTGGGAACGGGAGGAAATGAAGGACCAGGCAGATATTGGGAGGAAGAGTCTGATACAATGGACACAGAATGTGAATGGAATGATCTTAATGCTGGTTTACATTCAAGGGGGAGCGAAATATGCCAGGAAGAAAACAGGAGCCYGTGGATGGAGTTTACTGGGTTGCCCTTTCCAGCTGGAGAATGAAGAGRTGATGTTTGCAAGCACCACACACACATCGGAGGGATGAGACACAAAGATRCTCAAAATCAAGTGGAAAAAGTGGAAAAAATGAAAGCAGCTGTATAATCAGGCAGTTGATGCTGACCCCACTAAAGCAAGGAGAAAAGCTATCGGCAGCRAGCACAACTAAGTGTGAATTTGGGGGGGAAAAATGATGGAGATTTGATTTGGTTATTTTAGAAACTTCTATCAGAGACTAGTCATAAAATCTGAAGCATTATATTAAAATTGTGGGAGCTCCACTTAAACAGTCGAGGAATGCAAACTTGGTATCGAGCACAAACCATTTACTGCCACGGGCATTAATCAGAAAGCTCCAGCAATATTTTCTCTYAGCAGCACCTGCAGGATCAGATCCCTGTTTTGCAGAGGTTCAGATGACTGTCRGAGATTATTTTCTAAAACCAGCTTCAAACTCTTCTCTTAACTTTTTCTATCAATTCCACATGCATGAACATTAAATCTGTAACTGCCACTCCTCGAGAACTCCCGTGCCTGTACGTTGACAGATTTAATTTTAGATGTTTCACCAGGATGGATTATGTACACTGAGATGTAGATTTGCGTGCACAGGTAATTTAGACATTAGGTATAGATCACCTAAGTTAAACGTGAAATTTCCTCCCACAGACATGAATTGGATATTGTCCTCATTTTCAATAAGCAGTTTGAGAAAGCAAAAAAAAAAAAAATAAAATTCCTTTTAGGGAATTGTGTGCAGCAAACTGCTAGGAGTACACATGTAATTTAGGATGAGATCTGCACCCATTGAAGGCAGACAGTGATACAAATACCAGGGAGCACTGGTTGAACAGCAGATCTGCTGGACAGGTTCTCCATCCCTGAACCTGCAGCAGATGACAGATCCAATTTGGAAGAAGGGTTTCATGCTGGTTTAAAATTAAGGGCACAATAATGTGGGTGATCCTTTTGCTCTGGCTGAGGATGGGAGGGGCTCTGCTGGGTGTGTGCCACAGGGACACGAAAGGTAAAGCTGGAAAACATCATCCACGAGCAAAGGCTGAAGGAAATRTGGATCTTTAATCCAGAGAAAAGGAAATCAAATATGCTGAGAGGTCTTCAGACATGAAAAGACACCAGAGAGGAGCTGCTCTCACCATCTGCTGGGGAGTGGGAAATGAAGAGTGGGACCTCTCTGTGCTCCCACAGTCCAGAATAAACCTGTGCTGCCTCACCTGCTCCTCTTGAACGATTCCAACTGGACTGGGAGCAGCTCTCCCTGAGCTTCTGGGCAGATCTTAGAGCCACTGCAAGAGCAAACCCCACCTACAGCACCTGCACTGACAGCTCTAACTGTGCTTTTAACACCTGCCCTGCTGAAGCCAAATTCAGTGCAGGTTGTGGCAGGAGCAGAGGAAGCGAAAGATTATTGAAGGCTAATAAAAGATTATTAAGGATTAATAAAAGATTATTAAAGGTTTGATAAATGTGTAGTGAAGAGCCAGGGCCACTGTCACAGAGCAAATATCACAGGACAGAAAAAGGGAAGTAAAGCAAAGCAAAGTCAAAATCTCTGAGTGTTTTGCATGTGGGTATACAAGTACAGGCTCTTGAGAATATGACCTAAGCTTCCCTTGAGCAAATTAATCACTATTCGTGGAGGATTTATTTTTAATAATATTCATCTTATTCTATTTTATTCATAATCAGAGAAACTTTGGACAAGACAKGTGCATGGAGGAGCCATCCAGTGTMACTCTGTGCTGGTACAGACAGCCACAAATCCTGCCCTCTGCAAAGCTGAGGCTTGCAATCACCACACAGACACGTTCCAAATAAATTCTCATCTACTTTCTGCATTTTGAGATATTATTTTTGTTTAATTTTCTTTCATTAGACTGGCACAGCCACTGATTAAAGGTTCTGTTTTTCCATCATTTAATGAGAAAGCCACCTAATTAGAATGTTTCTTTTTAAAATCCTGATTTAGCAAACTGACCTGTGCAGGCAGATCCCACCATCCATGGAAATATATGGAGATATTTATGTATGAATGTGATTCTACAGAGGTATGCTTATAAATGAAATAAAGGGATGTTTCTCTTTTCAAATGTCCCACAGATGGTGGAAATAGATTCAATACAAACTGTTATTTCAAAAAAAAAAAAAAAAAGTAAGTATAAATTTAGCTTAATAACCTTTGACAATCTCTCCCATGAAAAGAAACTCCTGGCTAAAACCACCCAACAATTGAAAATTGCTGTGAAATTCCAGTGGGAGTTGAAGGGATTTCTTAAATTGCAAGAATGTCCCTGCAATTCTGGCCAGTTCGGGGGAAAACAACATTTTGGCCATTGAGTGCCCTTTTCTTATAAATAACATTAAACTGAGTGCTTGTAGCACATACATGAATCTCTGTATTTCCACAAATACTTCCCTGGTCTCATATTGCTCTTGATTAAATTTCATTCTGCAGCCATTACCCAGCCCAGGAGAAAGAAACAAACCAAAACAAACAACCCACACACAGAAAACATTTCCATTTCTTTTCCTGGTGAGCAAATAATAACATCATGATATGGATTGCTGCAGTTGAAAATACTGCTGCAAAAGAGGTGTCTGTCACTAAATGCAAACCCTCCTGTAAACTGGATGAATTGCTGTCTGTATTTTACAGCAGCAGCTGGGAGAAAAAAACAACATTTTCCAGACCTGGCTGGGTTGATATCTTACACTGCCCTTTAAACTGAAATGCAGAGAGGCAGCAGCAATTCTGTCCCAACCTCAGAACTGCTTGTGTTGGTGTAAATACAGAGTAACTCCTGTGAGAAGGTTCAGGAGACAGGGATGCAAGGAGTGCACCAGGACAGGAACCCCTAATTCCATCTCTCTCTTTCCAAGATCTCAGCTCATGAGGAATCAGTCCCTGTTGATGTGTGAGCTGGAATATTCTGTATTATGTTGGTTCTGCACAATGAGCTACAAGTCAGGAATTGAGGCCTCCTGGGTTGGATTTCCATTTACAGACTTTCATGGTCTCCTCTTTCATCCTTTCCTATTTGTTGTAGGAAGTTTTCAATCAAGTGTTGCTGTGCAAGAATCCCATAACAATTTACCTCTATCTATGTATGACCAAAATAGCTGAAAGAGMTGCTCCTATAAATGAATAATTTTGCCTGGTTTCACCCAAGTTGCAGGTCCAGAATTGGATTTTCCAGTCTTGGATTGCAGCAGAACACAAGACTGGCAGAGGGCAGAACTCCAGTCTGGAGATCACAATGCTGTGCCCTGTTTCTGGAAAAAAATGGTACTAATGACATTGAGTCTCTGTGACTTTAATAGAATTATCGTTCAGAATTGTTTGGAAGAGTTAGGGTGGAGATTTTGGCCCCGAACAAGAAGAAATGTCTGCACTGTAAATGAGAAATGGTTGGCAGGAATTATCTGAAAGCAGACAAGAATTGCTGTAAGAAACACAGCTCTGAAGATACTGAACCCAAACCTGAAGTGATACATTCCATATGGTCACATTTAAAGATCTGCCAGCAGATCTATTTGGGAACCTGTTTTTAATATTGGTAACTCATTCAACTGAATTTTGCTTCAGGACCAAATCATTCATACAAGGTCAAAGCATGGAAAACAATTCTATTAAAAAAAATCTGTATATATCCATATTGCTGCTGTTATTTCCACAACATTTCAAATAAACTTAAATCCAACCTCTCTGCTCATAGGAGTCTGTAGCAATTTCAATCAAGTCTGGCAAAGAAACACACAATCCTTAACAATTTCAGGTTTTCATCTGCAATTTTAACAAAATGCCCTATTTCATGCGAAACTTGAAATGTGAACCTCAGTAGAACTTCATCATTTGCTCCTTCATGGACTCCCCTGCTTTCTTCCCTCACTGCTGGAACATCCCTCTTATCTTTATTGATGTTCAAGGGAAAAAAGAAAAACCAACAGAKCTTGGTTTTCCCAGCTCAGGGAACWGACCCAATGTCCATGTRAAAYAAAATGCTGGCATGCAGAGCCTGGTGATGGAAATGTTGATTGGGAGGAGGCTGCTGATGTGTGCCCTCCCCTGTCAGGGTGCTSCAGCTCACAGAGCTGTCCCTGGGACAGCATCAGCACAGAGCTGAGAGCGAGCTCTTTGCAGGAAATTCTGGGTGTGGTCCTGGGGAGGTAAAGCTCCACGATTTCTGCATCCTGAGCTCAAATCTCTGCTTGCTCCTAAGAACACTGAGCTTGCTTGGTTACATCTCTGTCTCTTCCCTGCTGTGATGTGCTGTGTGGTGGACATCTGCCTCATTAAACCTCCTTAAAGCCTTTGCTTCTGCCTCTGCTGAAGCTCATTGCAACCCCAGGCTTGGGTGACCTCCAGAGGTTTCTCTCTTCACTTTTCCTGAGTCACTGCACAGCTCCCTGAGGAAAAAGGGTCCAGCAAATTGATCCACAGCAAACAGACCCTATAAGGACCCCTGTGTTTGCTCTGGCAGAGCAATCCTCAGCTGACTGCTCAAAGCAATGCTGTGCAGCTGTAAAATGGGTCACAGAGGGCTCAGATGTTGATTCATCTTTTTAAACACACAAATCTCAAAATAAAATAAAGCTGGGAACATGCTGGCCACATACTGGCTGCTGGAAAAAGACAGAATTCTAATGGGAAAGCTGGGACTGAATGTCTCAGGCAATGGCACTACTGGCTGTAAGGAAACCAGAGCAGTAAAACACAAGAAATGTGCAGAAGAGGAAAGGTTTTATCAATAAATTCAACCATCTCACAGCACCTATGGGTTAGAAMCATCCCCTACTTTACACTTGGTTATCCTTCTCTTTAATCTGACTGTTTGAGGTCAAATTCCATTCTTGGTGAAGCAGTGTGGAGTCGAGAGGAAATGGAGTTACTCTGCATTTACAATCACTGAGCAAACTCAGGACTCGTGGTGGCATCCTAAGGCTGCTCACAAGGTTGTAAAGGGGAAAGGCTCTTCTTTTGATAGTTTTGTGACCAATCATTGAGAAGCAAAATCCCTCCAAGCAGTGGCACACAGGGATCCTYCTTTGCCCTGTTCTTTGGGTGTAAAGGAATTCATGTGGAACAGAAATCAAAGGGCAGCACATTGACCCACCCATTGTGCTGGGCACCTTCCAGAACAAAGTGCCAGATGAGACAGAGAGGAACTGCAGGTTGGGGCAAAGGGGGCAGTTCCTGGAGCAGCAGACCAGGAGGGGCTCTCAGGGCTGTGTGGTTCTCTGGGTGACTTGGTGGGTTTCAGAGCCCTGGCAAGTGTGGCAAGTTCTGGGGAAAATTTAATGTCAGTGGTTCAGCTTGTGCTGCTTCTGGTAGCTGAGGGGACAGAGCTGTTCCTGTTCCCATCCCTGTCCCCATCCCTGTCCCTGTCCCTTTTCCTGTTCCTGTTCCTGTCCCTTTTCCTGTCCCTGTTCCTGTCCCTATCCCCATCCCTGTCCCTGTTTCCCTGTTTCCCTGTCCCTATCCCTGTCCCTGTTTCCCTGTCCCTATCCCCATCCCTGTCCCTGTTTCCCTGTTTCCCTGTCCCTATCCCTGTCCCTGTTTCCCTGTCCCTGTTTCCCTGTCCCTGTCCCCATCCCTGTCAGCAGCAGCTGCTCCCTGTTCCATCCCTCCCAGCCCCTGATGGTGACAGAGTCATCCAAGTTACTTCTCCAGGACTCACATCAGTGACCCAGCCCTCTCCTCCTCCTGATCCTCAGACAACTATTATCATGGCAGGAACAGCTCGGCCCTCTTGGCTTGCCAGCCCCTCAGCCTTTGGGCAGCAGATGGCTCTGGAAGCACCGATGTRTGAAGCATTTTCGTGTGCCTGAACAACTGCCTTAATTATGCAGCATTGTCATTAGGACTGGACAGGTGATTTAGATCTGAATATCTGAGCCACTTCATCACCCAGTGATCTAAACCAACACTCAGAACCTGGCAGCTCCAGGAA